AGCATGATCAGGAAACCTCCTAAAAGTTTAAAGTGATTGATTACAAATAACGTTAACAGTTTTCAATACCCCACATTGTGCCACCCCTGTGTCCCTATGCTCATCAGCTCTGATTGTGCACCTCGATGAGCATTTTGGGTTTTCTGCTTTTCAGAAACAAGCTGCACTTCTTGGGTCAGTTCCTATGTGTGTGCATTCCTAGGTGGAGCTGCTCACTTTCTCACTGTTCCTACCATTTCAGATTTTAGAATATCTCATCATTCGCTTTAAGAGTGAGAAAGAAAGGCAAATGAAAGGATTAGCCCTGGAAGGGATAATGCTGGTTTCCATTAATCTCAGTGATTCTACATATGGTGTAAGCCAGCTCCAGTGCATCACCACTAGTGAGTAGAGTGAAATGTAATGAGGACTCTGCTGTGTCTTGTGTTGTTCCTTTGGGTTTAACACCTGTCTTATATTTTATTCCCACAGTTGCTGCAGCAGGAAGTTTTTGCTCTAAAATCCCAAATGATCAGATCTGGAAAGGTAAAAAAACCTCCAAAACCCTAAAATCTGTTTCCATAGATCCCTGATGGATCCTGAGGAAGCTATTCAAAAGATTGAGCCTCCTCCCTGTGAGATTGAGCCTCCTTTCTATTTTGTGTTCTGCTCACTGAAACTGCCAGCCATTGGATCTTGTTTGGCTAATTCCAGAGCCTCAGTGGGAGTTAACCTCTTTCTTGCTGTAGAGGAAGAGAGTGTAGTGAATTTGGGGGCCTGGAGGTGAACTGGGGAAGCCTGTGGGTGTAGTGAGGAAGAAGTTTGTGGTTTTGGGGAGCCTAAGCATAGAATGAAGGGGTAAAAGGGTTGGGAATATAGGGGAAGAATAGGCTGGGGATACATTGAGGGAAGATCAGGGTGGCTGGGAGTTAGTGTTCTCGCTAAGATTTTCCATCCATGAGCAGAGTGAGTTTTGTCTTGTGCGCCAACAATAAGGTCATGAGACTCTCCCAGGTAGCTCCCCACCACCTCATGGGGAGAAGGTAAGACATGCCCCTCCCCCAGAGAGCGCTGCTTTCAGGACTGCCCAGACTGCTCCTCATGGGGCAGAGGGAATCTGCTGCCAGTCCCTGGGTTTGCAGGGAGTGAGGTGCTAGCAGTCAGGTAGTGATGTGGGGATGAGGGGGGACAGAGCATTGGGGGGGAAGGGGCCTCTGAGGGGCAAAAGAGAGATGTGGGAGGGGGAAAAGAGAGATGCGGGGGCTCCAGCCCCAGGAGCAGTCACACCTCAGCCTGGCTCCAGCTTTGGGCAGCTGCTCATGTGGCCTGCCCAGGGAGCAGTCGGGAAGTCATTACAGGCCTGTATGCAGGAATTTCGGGGAGGGGGGGAAGGGGATGTGCTTTTTTATAAATGTGGGCTGCAGTTTTTTAAAATATGAAGGAGTTCAAAATAGTCATGCAATGAGCGTGCATAAGAGAGATTAATGAAAAAAATCGAGTGGGGGGGAAATCAGTGAGTGAAGGAAAACGTTCTAAATTCTTCAATCTTTCCAGAGAACAGAATTTTAACAGGAGATTGAAGATTGATTTACAAATATCTGTTCCCACCCTCCACTAAAAAGCCCTCATTAATATAGCATTAAGATGTACTATATATGGGATTTCTCTCCTTAGCACACAAATGGTAAGATCATGGCCAGAACATTACATAATGAGACTTTAGAACTGGAATGCCTCACATTTCAGAGATGTGTAAAATATCACAGCGCAATCCACTACTGTATGCACTAAAAAAACAGACTCAACTAACTAACCAAAACACCCTCTCCCACCAAATATTAGGTTATCAGAGAACGTGAAAGTTCAAATCCAGATTAAGGTTGAATGTTGCTGCTCCACTGGTATACAAAAGATTGCCAAACAACAGAAAATCCAAAGTAGAGGGATTATGGGACAGCTCTTGGAACAATGGAACAAAACCCTCTATGGGTATGTCTACACTACCCTCCTAGTTCGAACTAGGAGGGTAATGTAGGCATACCGCACTTGCAAATGAAGCCCGGGATTTGAATTTCCCGGGCTTCATTTGCATAAGCGGGGAGCCGCCATTTTTAAAACCCCGCTGGTTCGAACCCCGTGCAGCGCGGCTACACGGGGCTCGAACTAGGTAGTTCGGACTAGGCTTCCTATTCCGAACTACCGCTACATCTCGTTCCACAGTGAGCTGGGCACAGAGAGAAGGCTGCCAAGGTCCTGGCACCCCCATGAGGCCCCCTACCATGCAGCCCCAGTCAGCTCCAGTCGCCAGAGCAGCCCCTGGTGCCCTCCACCACACGGCTCTGGCCCCAGCTGGGGCTGCTGCAGCAGCTGCCACCTACCACGTGACCCATGGCTCCAGCCCTGGGGAAGGCCTGAAGCTAGGGCCAGGTCCATGTGATGGCTGTCCTACTGCTCCTGGGGCAGGGCAGCCGCCTGCCCCACAGCCTGCCCTGGAGCAACTGAGCAGCCACTGTGGAGCTCTGCTGAGGGGGTGGGCGGGCTTCAAATTCTTGGTTCATGTCCATGCAGGCACACACCTTAGAGGGGACACTTCTGGGAGCCAGAATGAGTGATAGGACACATGAAGAGTTGTCCAGCAGCATGGAAGAAGTACATTAGGGGCCTGGGCTGATGGGCAGAACAGGGAGTAAGAAAGATGAGGTATAGCCCCTACCCAGGGTGGGACTTCACAGTGGGGCTGGGACTTGCCAGAGAACAAGACATCAGTTGCTTTCTCCCAGGTTCTGACTTACGGGATTGGCTAAATTTGGCTTCCTTCTATGGGCTTTTCAACCTCCAGGGTCACAGCGCTATTCAGATTTGTCCTGGCCTCCCATCTGGCCAACCCAAATTGGTGTGAATGGCATTGCAACCTGGCATTACAGTGCCACTCACTAAAATTTGGCCCAGCCAATTTATGAAATAGCAATGGCTGGGCTGATCTGAGCAGTGCCGTAATTTTGTGCATCAAGATGCAAAGCCTAGCATGGGGAGCTAAGCCCAGCTAGCTTCATAACCAGTGCTCCCTGTAAGCTGAGCACTTAAGTGGCCACCCAGGAGAGATTCAAATGCTGTCCAGCTGATTAGCAGAGTGCCTACAGCTGGCAGCATGTATTTCTACTGGTGGTGCACATCTGCACATGCATTAGTGTTCTTATGTTTAACAAAATTCATTCTGCACGTGGAATGAAAAAATTAGATGGTGCGCTGCCCGTAACCCTTTGATATGTTCTGGTAACCCATTTTTGTGTGGTGATCTATGGGTAGAAGTTGGCTTGTGCTCTGAAGCTAAAGTGACTGTCGGTGAGATCTCAGTGTTCATAGGGCACAAGATTGGGCATCAGGAGACCTGGGTTCTGTTACCAGCTTGCAGCATGACCCTGGGCAAGTCAGTTTTCTCAATGTCTTTGTGTCCTCTTCTGCCATGTGTCAAGCTATCTTACAAGTTCTTCCAGGTAAGGACTGTCATTGTGTGTCTGTGGCACTCCCCAGTATAATGGGGTCCCATAGGCCTGGATGCTGCACAGACACCTAGTGGAAGACAGATACCCTGCCCCAAAGAGTTCATAGGCTCAGAGGACACAGAGTGTGAGAGGAAACAGAAGCACTGAGAGGGACAAGGACTTGCCCAAGATCACACAGGAACACAGTAACTACTGGGAATAGAACCCAGGAGTCCTGATTCATGCCCTATTCACTAAAGCACCACTCTGCTTCAATGGGACCCGGTGCTTTTAATTGGTTTCAGTAGCATGGAGTATCAGATTTAACTAGATCGTTCCGGCACATATGACCCAGAATCTCTGCCTTGTGCAGAAATGGACGGGATGCTGGCTGAGCTCTCTGTGCCCTGGACCAGGCCTCTGATGGAAGGTGGATGTAGCCACGAACTCCTGGATTCTGCCTCACTTCAGCTCACCTTCAAGGTTTGACTTGGTCATATTTCTCTAAGTCATTTCCAAGTATCACATGGTGCCCAACTTGGGGCTTGACATTGCCAGGACACCTCCTGGGAGACACTAAATACTCTTGGCTTTATTCTAGTAGAAGTTGGTAGCACTCCACACCCTGCAGGATTGGACCCCCAGAGATTAAAGACCAGCCAAGTATTTATATCTGCAGACCTCAACCAAGACTGAGGTCCCCATCAGGCTGGAGATCACAGACCCCAACAACAATTTCAGTTGAGGTTCTCATTAGTGCCCAGAGCAATGGGCCTCTGATCTCAGTTGGGTCCTCAAAGTGTTACCACAGGACAAATAACCACTTTCTAGAACAGATACTCTCTGGCAGATGTCTGTGTGACAGTGGAGTTAGGAAGGAAACTGAGTCCCCTACAATATACCCAACAACCAAAAGCTGCAGAGTCAGAAGGCACTGGAGCACAGCTGTTCTGGAATCTAGGCCATTTATTTAGGTCCCTAAATATAGAGTGGATTGATTTCCTGTGGCATTTGGCGTTCACAGCCTTTGCTGTCACTGGTGGGAATTGGGGGTGCATACAAATCAGGCCATGAGTGCCTGACTTCAGGCACCTGTCTGAGAACACTGACCCACATGTACATGGTTCTTTCTAGTGCAGCCTTGGCTCCCCTTGAAGACATTGAATTCAAGACTAAGGGTGAGAGTCTAGTCGCTGATCCAGTCTCTTTGTTCCATTTAAGTGGCTGGATTCTGGCTAAAACTCTGTCAGCATTAACCAAGCCAACCCTGGTATCAGGGGCAGGCCAGAGACACCATGGAGGTGATCATTTTGCTGACTGGTATATGTTAGATCTGTCTCTTAGTGGTTCTGATGCTAGGGTAAGGCTGGGTTGGCTCTGAATTAGGGAGCTGATTATGGGACTCAGTGCTGGCCTGGTCCCACAGAGGTCAGATCTGGAGAGAATTGAGCCCCGTTATTAGTTAGGAAGCTTATTGTGCTTGTCAATGATGATGTCCCTCTTATTTCTGTTGTCCTGTGAGATGCTCCCATTTCTGTCCCTAGCGGTTTTGCAGTGACTTTCCAAGCAGCAAAGTTGCAGCTGTGTTTTAAGGCATGGAAAAGCATCTTCTTTATTTTATCCTCAGCTCCATGAAAGACCTGGGGTTCTGATGATGGACTGTCTGGCAGTAAAACAGTTCATACACAAGACCAGCATGGTGCACCCAAAGGTAACGCCACCTGGTTTGCAGTGTCGCTAAGATCCCTTTGTGCTGCTGTAGGGGAAGGCCTCTCTGTGCAAAAGGCTCCCTTGCTGGCATGAGGGCTCACCCTTGGCCCATCTCCACCCCTGGATAGTGGAGATATGACTGGATCACATAATACAATGGGTATTCCAGGAAGAAGAGCAGCCCCAGGGTTACTCTAACTTCCAGGGGCTGGGCTGCACAGCCTCAGAGTACAGGGAGTACAAATGGGGTTTAAAGCTTCTTTCTCTCCACTCCTGACAATCAGGGCCTGTTTTAATTACTCCTTGCAGCATATGTGTAATCCCTGAGCCAATTTACATTCCCTGGCATAACTCCAGCAGCTCCCACACAATTATTCCCACAATGAATTTGCCCCAGTGCATAACTATTGGGCAGTGCCCCTTGGCTTTGTCATTTCAGCTAGTTTAGTTGTTCATTACTCAGTCAGGATAACTCCTCCTACAAGCTCTTGTTTTATAGTCCATCATTATCCCCATCTGTGGCCTTAACTTTTTCCAGATAACAGTACTGCAACTTATCCAGGGGCCTCTGTGCCAGATTTCTCGCTTTTGCACAGGTGTCTATGATAGTTTCTGTGACTGGCACCAACCCTGTCCTTAGTTTTCCTCTCTTGCCCTTCCCCTGCTGGGCTGGCAG